ATATTCACTTGCTTATAATCATATTATCGTGAATCCATGTAATGCCATATTCCTAATCGAACGTGTTAACCAACCCAGTCCTTATTACGAAACTCCTTACACAGAAAATTACTAATTTCATATTTCCTCTAACTTCAGCAATTCCAAACAAAGTGAAAACGCTCGTAAACATTCGGAGCACGATCATGGTGAACAAACGTTCTGAGAAAGAGATCTACACCAAGATAGAGAAAAAGAAAAATCACCGGAAAATATAAATAGTGTAAGCTACACTTTCAAACGGCAACGTAGACAAGCAGGTCCAAAAAGAGCATCAGCTGCCGAGACGCAAAAAGTTATCTTAAGATGACACCAAGTCAGTCAAAGCCTCCGTCGCGTCATCATCGCAGTGATATCACAAGAACGGTAATGGTTCTTTAAACGCACCTCGAACGGGGGGGGGGGGCTCTCTCCCTCGCCGTGTGCTGTCAGGCGAGGCGCTGATGGCGTTCCGAGAACCGTCCTTTATCGCGCTTCGAAGGGGTGGAGTATAAGTGGTTGTGTGTGTGTGTACATGTATATACATATACATATATATATATATATATATATATATATATATATATATTATATATATATATATATATATATATATGTATGTATGTATATAATATATATATATATATATATATATATATATATTATATATATATATATATATATATATATATATATATATATATATATATATATATATCCACGATTGTACATATATATGTTTCCATATACATACATAAACACACACACACAGACACACACACTCATATATATATGCGTGTGTGTGTGAATGCACACACACACACACACACACACACACACACACACACACACACACACACACACACACACACACACACACACACACACACACACACACACACATATATATATATATATATATATATATATATATTATATATATATATATATATATATATATAATACACATATGTATATATATATATACACATACATATATATATATATATATATATATATATATATATATATATATATATATATATATATATATATATATATATATATATATATATATATATATATATATATATATATATATATATATATAATATATATATATATATATATATATATATATATATATATATATATATATATATATGGTTAAATATTCATCAATCCTAGACAATCGCAAAGTTGCCTGACTTCGCTGAACGAACGTCTTGCTCGGAACGCGATTCAAACTTTCTTTTGCGTTGAATATGTGAACAATTTTCCCGGTATTCTATATTTGATGGTTTCTTGTGAATATCCTCCATTTCCTGATGATAAGCGGGTATCGCCTCGAGACGAAGCAACACAACCCAAGAGCTTTCAAAAGGTGATCATCCACCCTGTAACGAGAGCTGCTAATGAATCGATAATTACTGTGGCTGATGGAGGCAATTGATCCAACTCCTTTGCTCGCTTTAGCTGCCTGCAAGTGATGGCTCGTTATCTATTAAGGACCAAACATATGTATGAGTAAAACGGAGATCCAAGGCCACTTAGTCGGATTTTGAAGCAGAGGACAGGGTCGCTGTTCGAATGGTAAGGGCAATGCAAAGGAATTCGGTATCTGTATTGGCTGAGAAGAATTTTGTGACTGC